CCACAAGTCTTAAAGTTGCCAAGGTTGGACACCCCTGCTCTACACCCTGAGATAAGGCGAGTCTCCCACTTTTCTGGCCCTCAGAAAAGCCTAGAGACCTAGCTCTGCCAGTTGGCATGGGGAACCCTGGGGTGGGCGATGGTTTGAGGGCCCTTTCTCTGCCTTTTTAGACTTTCAATTCTGTTTTTAATTCTTCTTCTCTAATGCTGTCTTTTTATGTGGTTTTATGGCTTTCATTTGTAAATCGCCCACTCAGAAAGTGAAAAGGGCAGTATATGTATTTGATAAATAAATCAATAAAATGGGAGGAGGGAGTCATTACATACCATCTTCAGCTCTTCCAGAGAAAATGGGATATTAAATAAATGCATCCACAATTTAGATCTATAGTAATAGCCTATGAATTTGGGACAATAAAGGAGTACCAAAAAAAAAAAAATGATACTTTTCTGTTCTGTGCAGGATTGCTGGATGTAGTTTGATCATTTGGAGCTATTGTTGTTTTGTTTTGATGCTTTGTTTAGATTGTGCAATGCTGTTTAACAGAGGAAAAAGAGAAAGTGGGTACTATAGAATTAAACCACAACAGGACAGAGAACCTTTTCTTGTGTACTGTGATATGTCAGATGGAGGCGGGTGGACGGTAATTCAACGGCGGTGCAATGGCAAAGAAAATTTCTACCGGTAAGTTTTTGAGCGTAGTTAATAGCTCACCTGGAAAGACTTTGCGGTTTCTTTATGTGTCATCCCAAATTAAGAAATGCCCCCACAAAGACAAAGATGTGCATAACATTTGCAGACATTGCTTGCTATGAAACATACACGCACACACACACATTTAGAAAAATATATTTCAAAATGAAATGTAAGAATACATGTCTCCCAGCTAGAATTAAGTCTTGTTCTCAATTTTTCTCCAGGATTATGGAATTCAATAGCTAAATTGTGTTGCTGATTTATCTGAAAACCTGGCAAAGCTGATATTTTCTTTTGCAACATGGTAGTTCTGTAGGATTTGTGGACCAACTGTTTTCCTATGGGGAAAAAATTACTGTTTTAGCTCCTGAGCTCTGAGTTTTGGTGTTGTGTCTCTCTATCTGTATCATAATGGTTGCAATATACTGTACGTACTGTCCCTCCCACTTTCCTCTATTTCAGCTTCTGTAGGAGCATACATCTGTGGTTAGGGCTTTTTAGCTATGTATCTGGTTACAAGAAATGGCATTCTTTACTTTCACAATATTCAAGGAGGTTTTAAATGAAGAAAGCAGCTATACAATCAGAAATAATTTTTTTTTCTCAAAGAAGTTGTTTAGATTGTTTTTTCCCAGCAAGGCACAAACAAATGCAAACATTGTAAAGTAGAAATGTGGAAGGGGAGGGAGGTCCCAGAAATGGATTTTATTTCACTGAATATGAAGCACAGAAAGAATAATTTTGTTGTTCCTATATCTCTTCAGTACAGGAATTCAGGAGGGAGGACAATGGACAACATTTTTGGACTCATGGTCAGTGGTGGGGTTCAAAAGTTCCCACCACCGGTTCTGTGGGAGTGGGTTGGTGGGCGTGGCCGCAGGGGTGGGATCGTGTGACTTGCGCAATCATGCGCGTGTGCCGAACACAAGTTTTGTGCACGCGTTAAAACAGTAAAATCTAAGCTACTGCGCCTCTCAGCTGTTTAGCACAGCAATCCGCTCTGCCACGCCAAACAGCTGAGAGGTTAAAAAGGACCTAGGAGCAGGGGCGGGCGGGCAGGCCCAACCGCAGACCGTCGGAGAGACTCGGAGCAAACTGAACCGGTTCTCTGCCAGCTGATCTTCAGCGCTACCAGTGCCCCAGAACTGGGACGAACCCGTAGAATACCACAACTGGTGTTCTCTCTACTGAATGTAATCTCCACAGTTAAGGATCAAGGAAATGATGATTAAAATTAGATCCAAACATTTTTTTTGGTGGGGAACTGGAAAATAGAAATGACGGCGATGTGTAAATATCTTCAGCCATCTTAGTTTCTGCCAGTCTTCAAGCATGAAGCATTGCTTTGAGGAGAGCTGACAAGCTATCTTTCCTCAGTATATGGAAAAGCACCCATGAAAAAGAGGCATGGTGATGCAAAAGATAGGAAAGCAGCTCACTCCCTAATCTCTACAGGGCTGTAACAACACAAAGAATGTCCACTTTTACTATGATTTCAAATACATTGGAGCTGGACCAAAAATAATTTGACTTGGCTACTAAGCCCAGCCAACAGTATGAAGTCAGGCAGGCCCAAATGCAAAGCTCTTTTATAGTGTTTCACACAGTAAATATGAAAAGAAAGGAAAAAGTGAACCAGAGGGAAATGACCTTTGTTCCACCTCCTGTTAACCGAAAATATGGATTTTTCTTGAACTTCTATGTCTGACTATCTGTTGCCATATAAGAGGGGGGAAATATAACAATCCACTTGTATTTGAGACTTGTACTTGAGAGCCAGTTTGGCCTAGTTATTAAGGCACCAGGCTAGAAAGCAGGGGACCGTGAGTTCTAGTTCCGCTTTAGCCATGAAAGCCAGCTAGGCCAGTCACTCCCTCTCAGCCCCACTCACCTTACAGGGTTGTTGTTATGGAGAAAGAGGCAGAGAAACGTGTCTCAGTTATGTTCACCATCCTGAGTTATTTGTAAAAATAATACAGCTGAGATATTAATTAATTAATTAATCAAACAAAAAATTAAAAACAAACACAATTGGAGGCTTGCAGGCAATTGGCTGGTAATTAGAGGGAATGGCCTGAATATATATGATAACTGCCATTTTTACAGCAAATCGTAGATAATATTCCTAAAAAAATATCATGTACACTGTCTTGAATTCTATCATGACAGATAGATGTGATGTAAAGATAATAATCATTAAAATATTATAATCACATATTACTTAGCACCAAGGTGTCTCCTGAGGCTAATATGTGTACATCTCTTTGTTGCAGAGAATGGCTTGATTACAAAGAAGGTTTTGGGCAATTACAGGGCAAGGATGATGAATATTGGCTTGGTAATGATAAGATTTATGATCTCCTTTTCAATGGTAAGGATACCCACCCATTAATTTAAACACAGATAAATTAATGTTTTGTATCAGTCCATTTGTGAATGCAGCCTTTAAGATCTTCATTTCTCTTATGATAAATTCTGGAAGAGCCTATTAAGGATAAATTAAGTATAGTAATAGAAATATGTTTGGCCCTATAGCTTCTTCTTGCCTCCCCACAAAATAGCGAGGACACAGCGTTGGCAAATATCAAGGACAGGCAATGTGAGAATCTAGACATATTTAGGTGTGGAGATGTTGAGAACAGGAGTATAGTGTATTTCCAAGACTTGACCTGATATGGGGTATACATGGGAAGAGAGGAAGGATGTTTATTATATGACTCCAAAGCTTTATTCAAAATCCAATGCCCATGCTTGTTTTTTTGTGATTCCAGATAATCTTATTTATGATTAAAGTGGCCAGAACAGGTCTACTTTCTGTTATTAAAGAAGACTATTAATATCTTCTTAGGGGTGCAATTTATCCTTCTCTGCCTAAAAATGCAGCAGTTAAAAAGGCCAGGGGGATCTCAGATTGCATTACGCATGAAAGCTACCAGGATGTCAGTGGGTCTAGAAACCAAGCATTATAAATATTTCGCTTGTAAAAAAAGAGGCATGTTCAGTTTGCAAAATAGATTATGGTTGGATAAAATAACACTGTATACTACAAATATTTAAAATAATGTTATATGCAAGGTAGGATAGGCCCGTTCTGTGTTGAAATCAAGGGAAGAGCAGGAGAACGGAGCTGGAAAGCAGGTTAGTGGGGTGGGGAGGGAATGGAGATTTTACAGTATCCTTCCCCTGCTACGCCCACCAAGCCACGCTACGCCCGTAGAACCAGTAGTAAAAAAAATTGAATCCCACCACTGGAACAAAGCCTGCTTTACACACTTTAAACGTTTATCATCAACCACTCAATAAAAAAAAAGTCTTGTCGGTTTACACGACACCTTAATACCATCCCTGCCCTATGGTTCTAATCCACCAAAAATAATATTTAAAAAAATGTGGTCCCTTAAGTGAAAGATTGCGCACTCTTGCGAAAATTGCAGTGAATGGTTCACTATGCCCCTTATTAGCCAAAGTTTTTTTTTAAAAAATATTTTAGGAGGAATTTCACTGAAAATTGATCTAATGGACTGGCAAGGAGAGAGGCGATATGCAATTTATGATGATTTCCAGATCAAGAATGAGACAGTGAGTATAGTCTGACCTTTGCGGATGAATAATTGGTCCCATAGACCTGTCATATGAGAGCTGGCAGACAATAGAACACTTATCTCATCAGGATCCCCATTAGCTAATATTGTAAATGAAATATATGACCAAAGACCTATACAAAAAATAATAATAACGAAGCAATCTCCACTCAATATGAGCTGAAAATCATGGGGGGGGGAGTCTTTTTTGGTGACAATTTCAAAGAGGTTCTAGAATAGAAGTCCAGAAAATTGTAACAATGATTCTGAAGACCCCCGCTAGGATTCCCGGAAGAGAGGCGAAATCCTGTCACAATTTGGAAACTCTCAGAGAAGCGTTCTGCTTCCACCAGGGAAATGGCTCCCCTTCCCTCCATAATTACCGTCTGCCATCCCTTCCTCCTTTCAAATGCAGAAATGTCAAATAAGGGTTTGGCATTTAGACAACTATGTTTCCAAAGGCTGAGAAGGTCAAAAGAACGTGGGTGGTGCTTGGGAGAGGTGGTCGGAGGCTATAGGCGGGGGAATGTCTGCAGGCTGTCTTCATCTGTGGGCCGTTAAACACCGCTAGCAGGGGCTCTGTATTTAATCAGTGCCATGGTTGGGTGGGAATTATGGAATGCTCTGATCTCTGCCTAATCCATGAAAAGCTTTAACTGGGCGCTAATCAAGACTAAACCGAGCTGGCTTCCATGTGATTAGGCTCTGAGGTTTCGTGATATTTTGTGGTGGCAGCAGTCTGTGACATACGACTCGCTCCTTAATCCTGAAACTTAGTAACATGAGTTTCTGTGGCTTCCCTTCAGAACAATTACAGGCTGTGGTTTGGCATTTATTCTGGGACTGCTGGGAATGCTTTGTCTGGGGGGAGCAGCTTTGAGAGCCAGTGGTCTGGATCACTCAACGGCATGCCCTTCTCTGCTCCTGACCGGGACCATGACAGGTTCCTAACGGGCAACTGCGCAGAAGAGAACAAATGTGGCTGGTGGTTTAACAGGTGAGCCAATGGGCAACGCTTTTGAAGTCAAAAGAGTAGGCACTTGAGCAGATTTGCCTTCCAAATGTCTGAATTTGGTCAGGTTTGCAATTTTGTATGTCACGCTCAGATATATCTATTGCTCGTTCTAGAGAAAAATAAATGGGATACAGAGACAGGCAAGGAAGTCCAGGTTCTCTCTTCCTCCACGGCTAGGAAGCTCACTGGGTTATCTGAGACCAAGCACATTCACCTAGCCTAATTTATCCCTCAGGATGGGAGAGAGGATGTAAAGAGAGCCATCTTCAGTTTCCCTAAAGGGAAAGTAGACTTAAAAGAGATGAACACAAATCAGTTTGCAAGCACTAGCATTATCTCCATGTTTTCAAAGCAAAGTGGATTTCTTCTTACAATCCTGACACATATACCATCGTTCTTCGGTGTTTTCCTGATGGAGGCTCATGAATTCACCAATAGAAGAGGGGATTTTATTTCAGTGTGCATTGGGCAGGCCAGGAGTGAGGCTATTTTGGGTATATTTAGAATAGAATAGAATAGAATAGAATAGAATAGAATAGAATAGAATAGAATAGAACAGGAGTGGAGTGGAGTGGAATGGAATAGGATAGGATAGGATAGGATAGGATAGGATAGGATAGAACAGGAGTAGAGTAGAATGGAATGGAATAGAATAGAATGGAATGGAACAGAACAGAACAGGAGTAGAGTAGAGTAGAGTAGAGTAGAGTAGAGTAGAGTAGAGTAGAATAGAATAGAGTAGAATAGAATAGAATAGAATAGAATAGAACAGAACAGAGGTAGAGTAGAATAGAATAGAATAGAATAGAATAGAATAGAATAGAATAGAATAGAATAGAATAGAATAGAATAGAATAGAATAGAATAGAATAACAGAGTTCGAAGGTACCTTGGAGGTCTTCTAGTCCAACCGCCAACTGCTTAGGTAGGAAAACCTACACCACTTCAGACAAATGATTATCCAATTTCTTCTTTAAAAACTTCCAGTGTTGGAACATTCACAACTTCTGGAGCAGAGGTGCTATTCAGCCGGTTCGCACCTACTTGGGCGAACCGGTAGCAAGAATTTGGCATGGGTCGCCGAACCAGTAGCAACATCTAGCCCGGCCACACCCCCAACCCGGTCGCCCGGTTTCCGCTCACTCGCTTGCCCCGCCCACCCGATGCTTAATGCCCCAGTTAAAAGGAGGACTGCTCCCCCGCCCTAGCCATGCATTTTCAAGCAGCCACTTGAAAACACATGACTGTGGGTGGAGCAGCGGTCCGTTAACCTGCAAAACTGTTCCAAGGCTGGATTCTTCATGGACACTAGAAGTATCGCTTCCCCTTGTGAGTAAAGGGCCTGGAGGGAGAGGGAAAGAAGGGGTGGGGGGAAATCCAGCCATGGGGAAGTTTGCAGGAGCTGCAAATGCAAGTCCATTTACCTGCAAAACTTCTCTAATGCTGGATTCGCTTCCCCTTGTGAGTAAGCTGCCTGGAGTGAGAGGGAATGAAGGCTGACGGGTGTGTGTGTGTGTGTGTGTGTGAGAGAGAGAGAGAGAGAGAGAGAGAGAGAGAGAGAGAGAGAGAGAGAGAGGAAAGAAAGAAAAGAAAAGAAAAGAAAGAAAGAAAGAAAGAAAGAAA